GAATAGTGAATGAATTTTTTCGGACCAAAGAGCTTATGGCCCTATGGGCAAATAAGATAATTAGGTTCTGATTATGCATTTTAGTTTTGGAGTAAATATTTTTTTCCAGATGCCTCTGTGCCCAGGAATTTTGAGGATGCGTAAAGTTGATGACAGTTGTGCTGGACCTTTTTTTTTAAAAAAAAACACAAAAATTAGTCATCAGTTGCTTCTGTCTGAGCAGTTAGGATTTCAGTGAAGATAGATTATAGATATCCTGCCAATCATGAGAAAATGAATAAAAAGAGATCCACTAAAGAGATTCCGCATAGTGTGCTCCTTTGTCCATCAATATACTCAAACCAGTAAAGATGTAAATGGGTCTGATATGATTCTCATAAGAAACTAGAGCTCATAAATGAAACTTTGAGCACTCTACCCTTAGCTGCTGCTGGAGTGCTGGCGATATGATGAATTCACATCCTCCCTTTTCCCTTTGGCACTAACCTGTATACCTATGAAATTTCTTCCTTCTTCCCTTACCCCTTGTTTTCAATCCCCCCCCCCCCCCCTACCCCCTCTCTCTCTCTCTCTCAAAGCTCCCCTACCTTCTTTCCTTTCCCATTCCACATCCCCTAAATTTCCCATATCATTTCCTCTCTTCTCCATTATCTTTATGGTCCTTTCTGCCACCAATTCTAGGCGCCTCATTATTTTTCATCTTTGTCACCTAAATCTTCTTCACAATCGAGAAGCTGGTGGCTTTGCTTTCTTTATCTTATTTCAAGAACTTTTGCAGTTATTCTTACTTATAGTGCACCTGACCTAACTAGATCATCTTTCTATTTGCTTATTGCAATTATATCTTCACTTTATATTTCTAAAAATTATGAAGATTAGATATTTGAAAATTACGCATTAAGAAGAATATAACAAGACTCAATTGATAATGTTTTTCTTATACGTAGTATATTAATGAATAGATAAGGTCAAGGTTCAGTCAAATCAGACCACTAGATCAAACCAGACCTGACCAGACTCCGGAAAATTTAGATTAGAGAAATTCAGATGAAGAGAATATAGACTAAGACCTTACTCTGTTTGGAAGACAAGTACTCTCAGTATTGTATATGTTACATCTTTATGTGAAGGGGAGAGAGGGGCTGGCCTGTTTTAATGTTTTCTTTCTCCCAAATCATAAATGTCTTTAGTGCCTTCTTATGGTGGACCATTGTTAAATACAACACATGAAAAAATTGATGTAATATCTTGTATGGATATATAGGCTTTTCATTTGGCCCGTTTGGTAGTCTCTTTTATGGGTAAATGTCTTTTACAAATGGCCTGTTTAGTGCACAGCAAATTGATGGTAAAGTCATGAATTTCGGCATGATTTCTTGGCTAGACCTCCTGCCAAAGACTTTTAAAAAACATTTCCATCTCCTCTATACCTTTAGTATTCATAAAGTAATTAGAAAGCTAACATGGAGTTTTATTGTGGATTGTTCAGATTTTTAATGGTCTTAATTTTTATATTGATATTCATTTGCAGGATTATGTACCGGAAAATCTAGACAGTGTAGCTGAATTTGAGGCACCAGCATCTCCTGAGTCAAGTTACAATCGTGAATTTCCAGGAGAAGATGATTTTGCAAAGGAGCCAATGATAGTACCACCGCAGCTACAGCTAACAGTCCTTGGTGTGGAAAGTTCAGATGAAGCACCCTTTTTGAGGCCCCAGCATGTCGTGTTGAACCATCTTTTTATAGAAAAAGGTTGGGCTGCTTCTCAGTCTATGGTTGCACTTGGTCTGACCCATAGGTTTCAGTCAAAATACGTCACTGTTCTCCTATATAAGCCAGTAAGAAGGTAAAGATGGCCAATTTTTTTTCCTGTTTTTAAAGTTCTGTTTGTTGGATCCCTATTATATCAGTTTCGTTTTTTTTTTTTTGGCTTTTCCCTCTCCCCCTTATTTTTTTTCTTTTGGGTGGATGTAGTCAATATAACATCACCATGTAAGTAAATGAACGTGTGAAAGTTAAACTGTTAATAGTTGTACCCATACAAATCTCAACTTAGTCTTTTTTTTCTGTTTCCTTGCGGAAAGACGAAGCAGCAAGCAATAGTGATTCATGCATCTGAGTCGACAAATTTCACCAGTTTCTCGAGTAAATCGATTCTCCAGCTTTTTTAAAATAAAAGTAGATTGTCGAAAATTTAATACCCTTCCTCTTCATCTTCAATACTCTGGACCCATTTATTGTGATGTCAATTACTATTATTCTTTCTGTTCATGTCATCTAGTTTAGGTTAGACAAGCTCAGCTCAATGGATAAGTGACTTAGGGATATATTTGCTTCGGAATATAGGCTGAGGTGCTGTTCTATTCAGTTATTAAAAAAATAAAATAAAATAAAATAAAATAAAAATCCTATATTATCTAAACATATTTTGTCTATTTCACTAACCAAAAAAAAAAAGGGAATTACTTTGTCTTAATTAATTCAGAATGAGTTAAATCGAACAGGGCATATGCCTTATCTGCACCTAGGTTTGGTTTAGCACGATTTTGTTTGATGTTGGCAATTTTGTACGAGTGATGAATCGCTGTTATGAAATCAAATTTTAGTCTACAATGAAGGTTAAAGTTGGACATCCCAGTAAAATAAAAATTATAACTAATCAATTGAATAAGATTTAGCTATTTAGTACAGTACAGCGACACTAAAAGTGCAGAATCAGTAATCTGTGTTGAACTGTTGATGTTGCTGCTAAGTGCTAGCAGGAGGAAGTGTGCTTTCCCTAGCTTTTGGCCGCTAATTGCTGCAGCAGCTGTTCTTCAAGTTGAATCTGTACTCCGAGTCTTCTAACTTGTTATTCAACCTCTTATCTGTAGGTGACAACTGATTCGTGAGAAACGCCCTCTACTTTGTCGAAACTTGAATAATGGGTACAAAATACGAGTTATTTTAATTGGATTATTACTTTGTATATATTATTGTTAAAATAAGTTCTGATTGAGAGGGAAAAAAGAAATCAAACGAGAAACATAAAACCCAGAATCTGTTGCCTTGTCAAAATTAATGTGATACACAAACGTGTAATCGTAACTAATGAAGGTATGTACCTTCAACTCATATGATATCACCTTAAACGCATAATGCAATTCCTTTGCTTCGTATACGGAGTGATAAATTACGCCTTATGAATTTTTTTTGAAGGAACGAGTAAAAAACCAACATTTTTTTTCCCCAACAAATTAAATTTTATAAGTGTTCAAATTTGTGAAAACCTTGGGAAAATATGATCAAAATAAAAGTGTGACCTATTATTTCAAAACGGTTGTAGTGAAAACTACAATGCAAGATTAAAACTAGAATGAGAGATGGAAACGCACATTCATTTGGAACAACACCATGATTTACAACGATTCCTCCAGCTGCGCGATTTCCTTGGCGGCTCCGGTGGTTGTTGAGCTCTCATCTTTCTTTTCCTGTATTGATTAAGCAAGAGTGCATGCCATGAATCAGATCAAACTCTAATTGTATCATAATCTATCTACTAGGGTAGCTACTAGTAGATTAAATTCTCCATTCTCACTCGACGTTTGCCACAAGATTGACCCATATAAACGATGATAGAGGACAGAGAACTGTGGCAATGTTTCCTATGGGGTTATATGCATAAAGAGAAGAAGTCAAGAGAAAAGCAACAAAAGTTTCAGCTTCTCTTATAGTCTTCTACGGGTTTTCTCAACTAAGTTGATTGACATCTATAAAATTGAGTGAAAGGACAAGGGGGATAGACATAGGAAGAGGAGGAGATAATAGGATCGAAGAAAAGAGGAAGGTGAAGGGTATAATGTAAAATCAGATCGAAAGAGGGAGAAGAGAGGAGAAATAGAGAAATGTGACGTTGTCTATCACTTGTAGATAAAATTATATCACTAAAATTATTCTAAAGATTATATATACTACTACAATTTTTTTGTGAGGATAAATTTGAGAAACTTTTTTAAATCATATCATATAAAAGGAACTAAAGGGAGATACTACTAAAAATCATTATATTCCAAGTCCTTAAACTTAAGCTTAGAGGCCATAAATAAAAGAAAATATAGAATTAGAATCAAAACCTCAAAAAGGAGGAATAGGAAGATTATTTCTAGAAATCAACAACTATCAATCACTGATAGCATTATTGCACAAGTTGATGTTATTTTAAATAGTTGGTAAAAGAATATAGCATATCTAAAAAAATTAAAAAAAAAGAAAAGAAAAGAAAAACCATTAGTAACCTAGTTAACATGGCAAAATAAGCTGTTTGAAACTCTCTAGAGTAAAAGAGTTGAAGAAAGTTGTAGTTTCACAACTTATCATAACCAAAGGCAAGATGTAGTTATATAAGATTTAACTTTGAAACCTTAAATGCCATGCTCAAATATTGTAGGGTTTAAAAAAACTCCTTATCAAAGAAAAAGGTTTTAAAAATCAAATCAATGAAGGCTTGACCTACTGGTTAAGACTAAAAGTCTTAGACACGTATTCATAAAGTACCTCATTCGGACCAATTTGTAACTCTCGTCTCGCGTGTGATAGCTAAACCATTTGGAAGAAGCGCAAACTTTACTCCGTTAAGACTTTAGAAGAAGGAATCGATCTTCGCATTAGCTGCTCGGTATCATATTATCCTAAGATTGATGCCATTTTGGTCTAATGTTGCAAATTTAAAAAGCTATAATAATTTAATAGTGATTTTTATGAATCTAATGATATGCACAAAAGCATCTGCACAGACTTTTCTGCAAGCACACATGTGCCCCATATGCAATTAGTATTAAAATTTGTTAGATTATGATTAATTAAAATGAATGACAGCTTTAATCACATAATTTGCACATCAAAAATCCAAATAATTGGTTTATTTGTCTAGAGATGTTGGGAAACCAAAATCAAACACTTATAAGGAAAAAATAAAACATATTAAAATAAAAAATCTTGATTTTGAAATTATAAACAAAATTTAGTCAACCAAAAGCCAATAAAATTTGAATCCAATTGTTCTAGGTTCATATTACCAAAGATGAAAAAGCTTAAATAATAAGATAAGAAAAAACTATTAACCCCAAAACTTGTAGAACCCAGGACAGGGCAAATAAGCATATATAGCAAAGAAGATTTACCTACACAATAAAAGCAAGAAAAAAGAGATGAAACACCAAAAAAAAAAAAAAAAAAAAAAAAAAAAAAGACTATTAAAAATAATAATAATGATAATTATAGTGCCATATTATGAGTTTGACCTAGAGGGGATAGAATTTTGGAAATCTCATCAAACTTATCTGCCCTGTCCTGTAAATTAATTCAAGGGGGGTTTTTAAAGTAAGACTCGGTGGATTCTCACTTGGCCATCATAACCTTAACGAACTCCTCGTAGTTGATCTGACCATCACCGTCTACATCAGCCTCACGGATCATTTCATCAACTTCTTCATCGGTCAGCTTCTCACCGAGGTTTGTCATAACATGACGAAGTTCAGCTGCAGAAATGAAACCGTTTTGATCCTTGTCAAAAACTCGGAAAGCTTCTTTCAACTCCTCCTCTGAGTCAGTATCCTTCATCTTCTTGGCCATCAGGTTGAGGAACTCTGGGAAATCAATAGTTCCATTTCCATCAGCATCTACTTCATTAATCATGTCCTGTAGCTCGGCTTCAGTTGGGTTTTGTCCAAGTGAACGCATCACGGTTCCGAGTTCCTTGGTGGTAATACAACCTGGAGGAAAATACACATTAATAACATCATTGGAATGAAGTAATCGCAAATTTAGACATAAGCAATAACCAGAGAACAAAAGTCAGGGATAATAATGTATAGCAAGAAACCTCATCATCTGTAAAAGCAAGAAATTCAATCATTGAGCAAAAAGAGGAAAAAAAAACCGAACATTAAAGTAAATAAAACTAAGCAAACCAGATCATAGGAGCTGTCAAAATAATGGTGAAAGAGGATATGAGATGTATAGTAGGTGGTCAAAAAGAACATGGAAATAATTCAGATGTAGATGATAACAGTTCAGCGCCTTTCTATTCAAATCACATAAGTCGGGTTCTTGTAAAGCCAAAAGTTGCAATCATAACACACTACAGGACCAAATGCTAATGTATCATTTACTCAAGATGCACACAATTAATCAAATGAATGCCTGAATATCTTATACCGTTGAGAATTGAGACATTCTGAAACATAAAACAGCGACAGATAATCACAACTTTTTTTTCGATGGGGACAGATAATCACACTAGAATGGTTGAACTACAGCTATCGACATTTTGACCTTTAAATGGGCACACAACTATCAAGTCCTCCGGGCTAGATATTACTTATGGTAACAGTTGACACATATGGTTGACCGGTTGACCCTTATTATCCCCCTTAATTCATCGACATTATCTATAAACACGTGCTTTAATGTAACACTAAACGAATTCCCACATAGACTTTAGACATTGTCATTGAGGCAAATTTAATCAACTCCAACAATCATCTAGTGGCACTTCGGCAACCAATCTAACAATATCATCAGCCGGAACCACAAGCAAACATAGAAATAATGTCCTTTAAACATCCACTTCCTCCCCTTCCCTTCCCCAACCCAAGGCCGAACATCAAATTCCTCCCATCCTGCTCACAACCGGTGACCGAACATCCGATTCCTCCCCTCCTGCTCCCCAATAGAAAGGCCAAACATCCATATTACCCCACCCCCTCACCAATAAAACGAGAGAAACGAAATATTATAAGCAATCAAACCCAAACAACCGATGATTGACTACCTCATCTACAGGTATAAATCCTACCAGAGAGGCTCAACTCCTCGAAACATATATCGATACGCCAGCTATTAAAAGAATTTTGGCAAACTTAGGGTTCATAATTTGAATCAAGGGCACCCCTATAATTTTTTAACTCATTTCAAAAACATCCCACCATTTTAATAGCATTGTGAATAATAAATAGCTTCAACAAATCACAAATATGGCAAAAATAAACATTCAATTTAAGGATTTCATTCTCATCTAATCAACCCGGTTGCATTTGCTTCCATAAATACATACATATAAACAAAAGCAATTACATACAAAATTCAATCAAATCCCACAAAATCTCCAAACTAATCATACAAAATCAAATCAAGTATAAGATCTAAATCAAACAAACGATCAACCAGATCGAAAACACAATCAATCACATTATCAATTATTTAAAATCAGGGTAAAAAATCAAAATCAAAACAACCCAGAACAAGATCTGAAGAAAACAACAACATTTCAAAAACCAATTACAAATCAAATCATCAAACGAGTCAAAATGATCAGAAAACCAAAATCAAAACAAAACCAAAAAAATGAAGAAAAAAAAAGAAGAATTCAAACCATCGCCATCCTTGTCGAATAGGCTGAAGGCTTCCTTGAATTCAGAGATCTGATCGTCGCTGAGTTGATCAACCATTGTTGATGTAAAGCGAGAGGAAGAAGAAAGAGATCGTGAAGAAGAGAGAGAAAAAGAGGGCAAGAGAAAATGAGAGTATGTGAGATGGAATGGAATGAAAAATAGGAAGAGGGTGTTTATATAATGTAAGGAAATGAAAGGTAACAAAACTCGGGGCCCAAAAAAAATATGTGTATTGTTAATGGAGTTTCGAATTAGATTCTTCAGCCCATTATGTTAGTTATCCTTTTCTCTTACTTTCTTCATTTTTTAGATGCTAATCTTTGTTATGGAATATCATAGCAAAATGGTAATTTTTAAATGTTTTTTATTAACATAATAATAATGATCATGATGATGATTGATGAGAGAAAAATATGAGTTGGAATGTAAATTTTTTTTGACATACGAAATGTAAATTTGTATGTTTAATTTACGGTTAGATTTTTAACATTGATGGCGGAAGTTTTTGAAAATGACATGTATATAGTTGTAAATCCATGGAAAGTAAGATATTCCTTGATTTGATATGGCAGCTAGTAGATGTTCACCCTTGATAAAAAGTATTTGAATCCCTATTTATGAAGCAAGTAGATTCTATCGTGTTGGCTAAGGGTTTTGGATATAAATGAAGAAGTCGTGTTGTGGGGAAGTGGCGGATCTTGAAAGTTTTTGTTTCAGGAGCCAAAATTTTCTAACATAGTTGTATGCAATATGCATGTCTTTAAAAAAATATAATAAAATAAGCTTATAAAAATTATTAATAAATTTAAATGTGAATTTGTAATAGATGGTAAGGAGTATAAAATATTTTTGGCTAAAACTAATCAAAATAACCTATCAATTTGATTGCACCAAAAAACAATTGAATTATCGTATATTGATAATTTGTTTGGTTTTAGCCAACAATTGCTATTTTGACATGTAATTTGGAAAAATTGCATAATTACATTAAATGTAACCGTAAGAGGGGGGGCATGGGGTTGTGAGTTGTCAGACTTTAATTAATTGGGAATTGGGTTGCTTTCCTAGGTGAATAAAAAGAGACTTAGCTTGTTGTATTTATTGGGCCGTTCTTATTGGACTAAGCGCATGCAAATATCAGCCTTTTATTACAAAAAAAATTTCCCAAATGCAACAGGGGCCAAGCCCCACTGAGCCCCTTAAATAATCCGCCCCTATTGTGGGGTAAGTGGTAGGGTGGATTAACCATAATCATTATTTGAAATTTTGAACATATAAGTTTCTATTAGATGTCAATTGCCGACATACAAGGCAATATTGAATACACAATGATGCCATCAAGTAATAACCAAAATACAGAAAATTAACAAATTAAAGCCTTCAAGCATTTGTTGAGGCAATTATTTACATGGTCTCAAAATACTTGTAGTAACTTGCTAATAATTCTAGTGAATTCTTCTTAAATTTCTCTCATTCCAAATCAAGTATGCAAAATTTAGGATTTCCAATCGAGTAAAGTATAAATATGGATACTTAAGTTTGCCATTTGTTGCAGATGCTCAACTATCAATTGTTGCATATTATGTACTAAACTTTGTACTCAACTTGTTTCATCTGTTGTAGCTGGTTATGCAAACATTTTATAACTATTTTTCAAATACCTTGAAGTCTCAGATGAAGTACAATTAATAGCAGTCAATGTTTAAAAACGCAAAAATCATTCAAGTTTTTTGAAGTAGCTGTTACAACTGTGGATTCAGGGCTTCTAGAAATGCAACAGTCTTTAAAATTTCTTGAGGTCGGATTCCACAAGCACAGTAGAAATCAAAGTCCCCCCGTTCTTTATTAAACAATTCAATTTCAAAGCAAATAATGTCATTTACGCTGCCTCTACATTTATTGTTCACTTTTATATTGGGATCAACAGTGAGAGCAGATTTTCTATTGTGTTCTATTGTGTTGGAAAAAAGATAGCATCGATCTGGATGTATTAACATATGAAACCAAAGGAGGAGTGGCAAATCTATATCTTCTTTGCAACTTTAAAAGTAGCATATTGAGCATGGTGGTGCATCAAAATGAAACTAGATTCATCAATAAGGGCACACCATGGATTGCAGACGCATCTTCGCAACAAGTCTTTAACTGGCAGCCTAAAAAAATACTCCCCAACAAATCATCAGGTTGAAGGATGTCAGTTTGTTTCCCAACCTTCATTTGACTACAAGTTTTAAAATTAGGTGTTTTCAGCCAAAAAGTTCAATTATTACCTCCTTTAAAACCTAACTATAATTAAAGGTTAATTTTTAAATTACCACCCAAAAATGTAACCATTTTTGAACTAACCACCTGTTTAATTTTTTATTTTAAATTACCACCCCTTAAATTAAATAAATGCTCAGATTACCACCCATTTAAAAAATCCGGTGGATTTTTCGTTTGTAAGCCCCACCTAACACTTATTTTGACCCTTTTGACTGATTTTTTTCCTCGATTTTTCTCTTTAAAAACGCTCTCTAAACTTTAATTCACATTTCTTTCACCAAATTTTACTAAATTTCAAAGAGAAAAATGTGAATTGAAGTTAGGAGAGCGTTTTTAAAGGGAAAAAATTGGGGGAAAAAAATCAAAATAAGCGTTGGGTGGGGCCCATAGACGGAAAATCCATCGGATTTTTGAAATGGGTAGTAATCTGAGCATTTATTTAATCCATCGGATTTTTGAAATGGGTAGTAATCTGAGCATTTATTTAATTTAAATTAAAAAATTAAACGGGTGGTTAGTTCAAAAATGATTACATTTTTGGATGGTAATTTAAAAATTTTCCATAATTTAAATAGGTTTATAAAATAAAACTATGTACATAAGAGATTCACAAAATCTTATATGTGACTAACCATATGGTGTGGCCATTTCAAATAATCATATATAAGACAATTTCTAAAGTAATAGCGGGTTATATATGGTGATGAGCAAATGAGATTACCTTAACGATGTAAGTTACTTAAATGAGAACAAGGGGTTACTTTCTGAAACAAAAGGAATTATTCTTTCATTTTTATGAAGTTACTTATTTCTAAATTACTTGATTTCACTCATATAATGAATTTGGGTTACTTTTATGGACAACATGGGGTTACTCTTATGAAGAAATAAGGTTACTCATACATATAAATAAAGATAACCGTTATAAATCAATGTGGTCACACCGTGTAGCTAGCCACATACAAGACTTAACCTATGAGATTATTTTGCCTCAAATCTAGATTGATGAACAAATTTATCATAATCAATTGAGTTTATCATCATAGCTATTCAATAATAAAAGATTATTAAAACATAAACAAAACAGAATTTTTTCAATCGCAAACAACAATTATGCCATTCGATGCAAAAATTACAACAATCCCCAAGCAATTACAAACATCAAATTCATGCATTAACAAGATATAAGTCTATCATTTACATTGAGGGTGACAAATTTAATATCATAGAAGTCCCAAATATACGACATTCTTCAAAATTCAAGAAAAAATATTATTGGAGTTCAATAAACTATTACATACCTACCAAATACGACTATATAATTAACGTATATACGCACAAACAAATCTTAAATTGGGGCAACTTGAAAACAAATAAAACTACATGAAAAACGAAATTAAAAAAAAAAAAAAAAGAAAAAGAAAAAAGAACCAAAACAAAATCTACCTACATACAACAGTGAAACAAATGGAAAATTTGTTATTTACTTGGCCGGAATACTTTCACATGCAAGTACTATCTCATAGTTTAGTACCCAATTTGCAACAAATGGAAAATTTTAGTACATATATACCCACATTTATACTTTACTTAATGCCAATTTATAAATAGTGTATGCCTCTTTTGAATTTCAATCGTGTTTACTACATTTCCAAATGTCAGTAGTGAAATGTTCAAATAATGTGGGCAAAATTGGCTTTAATGCCTTATTTTTGGGGTGCTCCCCGCCGGTTGTTGGAACGACGCAATATTTCGGCACTTTGTAAATGATATACGAAGTAATAAACTTAAGCTATAGCATTTAATGACTTAAATATTACGTTTATTCATAATACTTCCTCCATTACACATTATATGCAACAAATGTTTCTGAAGACAAAATTTGTTAATGTTGATTAACAAAGTGAAGAGTTTGGGATTAAGGGTAGGAGAGAGAAAAGGGGAGAATTAATCAACCACCATTACCACCTGCCACGGCCTCCCACCGACACCACCCTCTCTTTGACCCAACCACCACCACCACCACCCTATCTCGTAACCACCTTCTCACCACCACCATGACCCGAAACTCCACCGGCCAAACCATCACCACAACCATAACCCAATTACCCAAAACTCACCCCTCCAAATCGAACTAACCAACTTCGCAACTGTAATCCAATCACCACAACCAAAATCTGAAACCCCTCCATAACCACCAAAACCAACTAACCTCGCCCAGCTCACAACCACCACATACCCAAATCAATTTTAGGGTTTGATTATGAGGAGAATCGGCAACTATAACAAGGGAAAAAGGAGTCGGCGGCGACTTTGACAAGGGAAAAGGAGGTCGATGACTCGATCGACGATGGTTGTGAGAGCGAAAAGAAGAAAGAGATCGAAGCAAAAACAAGGTTCGTGCCTTCGTGGTGGATGGAGGATTTCTAGAAATTTCGGGCGGAGGTGGTGCTCGGGTGGAATCGGTGTTGGAGGTGGCCAACTGTGTGGGGAATTTTGGGTTGGGTCGTGGTTATGAGAGAAGAGTGAGAAATATAGTGGTGGTGGTGGTGGCGGCGGTGACTGGTAAGAGGGAGGTAATGATGGTGATGGATGTGGTTGTGAGAGAGATTGGGATTAGGGTAAATCATGAATGAATTAATGTAGGTTAATATGTTAATAACATATAATCTTATTCATTTAAGGTGTGTTATTGAAATTAAGTAAGGGTAGATTGGTCCTTTTTCACAAAAAAAATTACCATATATGGAAATATTTACTTTGTTGCACATAATGTGTAACTTCTGTTTTTGGAAATTGTTGCTATGGGTGAAGTTCGGTTTGCGGTTTGCGGTTTGGAATATAGCCAAAACCAAACCCAATCCGAATTAATTCGGTTTCGGAAATCTT